GAAGGGACGTATCTGCAAAGAATGCGGTATGGTAGACTTTTATAGGTGAAATGTAGTTATGTACTTCTGCTTAGGTAACTTGACATATGGACTATCCTTATACTTCTTTTCTTGTTCTGGAAGATACGGGAGTCCATCCGTGCACTTTTTCCAGATAGGGAATGCTTTACACTTGTGCGACCTGTGAACAATGAGAAAGATCTCCAACGTCTCGATCAACTTCCTGTAAGTATTTTTTCCTTCTTTGGACTAGAGTGAATGTCTGCTATTGGTGGCCTTGTGCTTAAAATGCTCAACACATATCATATGTCGTAGGTAGAGTCAAACTTTTCCTAAGCTCTCCATTCACACAAGTAGCAAAGTACCCACATGACATATTGTTATAGATAGTGAAACTATATTATTCTGTGCATTTTCCCAGTAACTACACATTTTTGTCATGGTAATAATAATATACACTTACATGGTACAGTGCAAGAAGGCAGTCTTTTACACAACTTCAATCATTGATATGCATTGTGATATTTTTGTTAAACCTGTAAATTTAACTCTATGAAAGTGCGCTCTTGAAACAAATTGATACTTATTGTGTTATATGTTCGATCTCAATATTCACATGGATAAGATACCAATAGCCAAAGTTCAAACAATTTGACTGCATGTACAAATTATTTTTGTCCCTTCAAGAGTTAGAATCATAATCCACGTTCTGGCGTAATCATATTGTTCTAACAGATTGATAATGATGCATTTTTTCCTAATTTCTATGTTGCAGCTGAGTAATTTCCGGCCACAGTTCAGATCTGGTCTGGATACTTTCACGAAATTTGTTCTTGACCGAACAAGACCAAAACAACTTGGAGCTAGTACAATGACAGGCCCTATCCTTGCTGGATTGACACAATTATTTCTTGATGCCATTAATAGCGGTGCTGTCCCTACAATATCTTCATCATGGCAGGTAGGTTAAGATTATAATTACAGCCATGTGGCTTATGTCGCTTAAACCATTATTAAGATATCGGGTTTCTCTTTGGATTAAAGTTATCTTGATTATTTTATTTATTTATTATGCAGAGCGTGGAGGAGGCAGAATGTCGGAGGGCATTTGATTCTGCTGTGGGCACTTACAATTCTTCTTTTGACCACAAAAAACATATAGAAGAGGTAGGGTTGCTAATAAGTGAGTTGCTGGATGCTCTCATTTGAATTTTCTGGAATTTATTTTGTCTTGTTGGCGTTTGCAGGACTCTTTGAGAGAAGCACATGAAGATGCTATGAGAAAGGCTATCAATGCTTTTAATGCTTCTGCTGTTGGTGCTGGGGCAGCTCGTACAAAATTCGAAAAGCTTCTTCACAGTTCTCTCAAAAAGGCCTTTGAGGTGACGTTATTATTACCATCAACTGGTTTTGAGTCAGCATGCCCACTAACTATTTTCTTCCCACATGAACCATTGATTAATGCCTGCCAATTGCTGAAGTAAATTACTTGTCAATTACAATCTTTATGCATGGGTAGGCTAACTCTGAAGCACATGAATGCAGGACTACAAAAGGAATGCTTTTCTGGAAGCTGACTTGCAATGTTCAAATAAAGTACAGAAAATGGAATCAAAGCTGCGAGCAGTATGTAACCGTCCAGATGCAAAGTTAGATGACGTAGTCACGGTAAGACAGCGTAGACTTCTTTGCTGCTGTAATTAATTGTCAAGAACCTTATCCTTCATTATTGTTTATGGTAATGTCCTTGTTACTTGATTAACTGCAGCTCCTTGATGGCCTGCTCACAGAGTATGAGTCAACGGCCTATGGTCCTGCAAAATGGAAAAGGCTAGCCACATTCTTACAGCAGTGGTATTCACCTCTTCAATTGTCCTGTTGTTGGTTGATGTGGAATGATTATCTCATTATCTCACGTAATCATTTTATTCTTTTGTTGGAACGATCACTGCAGTTTGGCTGGCCCCGTTCTAGACCTTTTCAGAAGACATTTGGAGCATATAGATGCTGAAAGGAATGCCCTTAGATTGAAATGCAATTCAAGCGATGATAAATTAGCATTGCTTAGGAAGCAGCTTGAAGCAAGTGAGGGTCATAGAGCTGAGTACGTGAGGCGCTATGAGGAAGTTCTGAATGATAAACAGAAAATTTCAAAGGATTACTCTGTTCGTATAACTGAACTTCAGACCAAGAGTAGCAAGTTGGAAGAACGGTGCTTGAGCTTGTCTTCTTCTCTTGAAACTGCAAAACGGGAATGCAATGATTGGAAGAGCAAATATGATCATGGTATTCTGCAGCAAAAGGCAGATGAGAGTAAGTTAAAATCCCAAATTGCTTCTCTGGAGTCTAGGGTGAGTATCAGTGAGGGCAGATTGTCGGCAACACGTGAACAAGCTGATTCTGCTCAAGAGGAAGCATCAGAGTGGAGACGCAAATATGAAGTTGCTATTAGCGAGGCCAAAACAGCTCTGCAGAGAGCGGCTGTAGCACAGGAACGCACAAATAAGAAAGTGCAAGAGAGGGAAGATGCTTTGAGGGCAGAGCTTGCTAACCAACTATCTGAGAAGGTAATCATTTCTCTCAATGTTATGGCGCGCACTCTTTCTCTCAATGTTATGCGCACACTCTCTCAATGCTCAGGAAAAGAAAATTATGGTATATTCAATGTTATTTTTCTTCCAAGTCTTGTTATGTGCTTCTTGGTCACTTTGTATTTGCTTGTTATGTATAAACAGGAAGAGGAAATTTCAAGATTACATGCAAAACTTAGTCAAACGGAAATTCATGCTACAAGTTTGATCTCGAGGCTTGAGGTATGTCTCTCTCCAATCTCCTCCCTCTCCCTACCTCTCAACATAATCTCATATTGCAATAAACAAATTCAGGCCACTGAAGCAAAGTTGAAGAGCCACGGGTCGGATTCTTTGGCTTTGAAGGAGGAGATCAGATCACTGACTGATAACCTGGAGTCTATTAGAAGTGAAGCTCTGTCACGTGAGAAGGAAGTCAGGATCCTGGAACAGGAAAAGAACCATCTTGAGGAGAAGTATCTGTCACAGTGCAAAAAGTTTGATGAGACAGACATTAGATGCAAGGAAGCTGAAAGGGAAGCGAGACGAGCAACGGAATTGGCTGATGTAGCTCGTGCAGAAGCTTCTGCTTCTCAAAAGGATAAGGGGGAAGCTCAACGGCTCGCAATGGAGAGGCTTGCACTGATAGAAAGAATGGAGCGACAGGTTGAAGCTCTAGAAAGGGACAAGGCTAAGATGGTTGAAGAGATTGAGAGACTTCATCAGTCAGAGAAGGATGCTGTGTCCAAGGTCGCATTGCTCGAAAGAAGTGTTGATGAGCGGGAAAAAGAAATTGATGAGATGTTGAAGCGGAATAACCAACAAAGGTCCAGCACCGTTCAAGTGCTTGAGGGTCTGCTCGCATCAGAACGTGAAGCATGCGCTGAAGCCAATAAGAGGGCAGAGGACCTGTCATTGATGTTGCAAGCGACTCAAGGCAAACTGGACATGCTCCAACAAGAAACCACACTTGATAGCAAGCTCAAGACCTCTGCAAGGCGCTTAAGGGATGAAGCTACAGAGTCTGTACATGATATGGATATCGATGAGGATAGTGTGAGGCATCGGAAACGATCAAAAAGCACAACAAGCCCTTTCAAGAGCAATCACACAGAGGACGGTGGTTCCGTGTTTATTGGTGAAGATACTCACAACGGGAGTCAGCAGGGGACAGAAACCGAAGACTATACCAAATTCACTGTGATTAAACTGAAGCAGGAACTCACCAAGCACGGATTTGGTGCTCAACTCCTCCAGTTGAAAAATCCCAACAAGAAGGATATTGTTGCCTTGTATGAAAAGCATGTCGTCGGCAAGTAGTAGTTCCTCAGCAATACTTGTATGCTTACTCTTTATGCTTTCCAGACTTTCCTGTAGCGTTGAAGCTTGAGTTGACACGATCGAGATTGAAGCGAAACGTGCATGTAACTTAGTTAAAAACTCTGGTTTTGTGTATTTCTCCAATGGTGCAGTTCATTTTAGCATGCATCATCGGCAAGCACTTGTATCAGTTTGCAGTTAGGAGTCGTGATTGAAATGCGTATCTTTTATTATGTGCTACTGTAGAGAACAGAAGGCTGGTGAGACTGAACCAGCCGAAGTTCAAACTTGAAGGAATGAACTGATTGAAATATCCGGAGCAGCATAAGCCTTTTCTTTTTCGTATATGTGGGTGGTTTGAATAATCGAGTAACAAAAAAGCAAAGACCCCATTCCAAAATGTAGGGCATGTTACGTGGAGCCAAGCTTTTTTTTCTTCTTCTTTTGATAAGTTAATATAACTTCAGCTATAGGTTTGCATTTCACATGTTTTCTATAAGATGTTGGTTTGAAATTAGTATGCGTATTTCACTTAGTTTGGATAATACTTTGACTAGCAGTTATGTCATTTAGTATGTATTGAATTGTTTTCATATGAACGGAGTAATTGATAAATCACGTTGAGCCAGCTCGGTGCCTCGATCCAAAAATGCTCCGATTGAACAGGTTTTTCTTTTAATATAAAAATGAGCTGATTTTGAGTGACTTTCGATTTTGGCTCGGCTCGTTAAGCTCGATATATAAGATTATATCAATTTTGAAAAAAGCTCGAAAAAAAGTGTACTTGGCTTGATATCCAGCCCTGATCATTACAATGAAAATTAGTACTCAAAATACAGCTTGAAGATTTGCTCAAATCCTTGCACGCCTTAAAAGGGAGGATCGGAGTTCGTAAATGAACTTAAGGGAGGAGTTTGTAAATGAACGTAGTTAGAGGGCAAGAACATGATATCTTTATACAGTCCCAGCACAACTTGGAAATTGTGATGTAGTTTCAGGTCCTGGGGGTTTGGCCTGATGACACGATGACCTGCTCCTAAATGCCTATTTAGCCGGTAAATTTGATAGAATGTGTATAAATCTCTTGTCCTGAATTCTTGAGATGATGATTCAAGGACCAAAGCTAGCCCTTGCTGCATGCACAGCAAAGTTAGGCATGAAGTGGGGAGCCGCAACAGGGGCAGGAGGTGCCCTGTTACTTGGTGGGACCCCCTGGCCATACCCCATCATTGCTCCTGGGCTGTAGAACTGATCGACTCCGCCGTTTGCATCCCTGAGGACGCCACCACCACCACCACCACCACCCTGGTGATGGCCGCCGGCAATAAATGCGTCGCTGCTGCCGGTGACGGCGGCGGCGGCAGGGACGACGACGGCGGCCTCCTTGGCCATGGTGGAGCCGCACTGCCTGGGCTGCGTCTGGAAGAAGACCTTGGAGACGACGAGCTCGCCGTCGCGCTCCTCCTCGTCGGAGCCGAGGTGGTACTGGTGCATCACCCAGTTGGTCTTCTCGGGCTTGCGCTGCTTGCCGTAGTTTGTGTAGAGCACCAGGATCTTCTTGTACCCGCGGGGCCTTCCGTTGGACAGCACCGGCCTGGTCTTGCCCGTCTTGTGCCACCGCGTCTCCCCTCCGCCGCCGCCGTCGTCGCCGTCGCCGCTGTGCACCTTCCGCCGCTTCCTTGTACCAGTCGTGTACGCCCTGGACGGCCGGTGGAAGAAGTGCCGGACAAGACCGTCCTTGCTGACACCTGAAATAAAGAGTAAGGTCGCTCGAGTGATCACTGATTATTGCAATCTCAGGCAGCACATCGATCGATCGATCATCATGCATATGCATGCAGATCCAAAACAAAACATACGGTACGTACGTACCGGGGAGCCTCTCTGGGTGAGTGTAGCAGATGCCGTTCTCGCCGTCGATGGTGGGGATGAAATCGTCGACGAGGGGGTGGAGCTTCCGGGTGTCGGGCCTCGCCTTGCCCTCCAAGTGCTCCAGCAGCTCCTGGTCCGTCGGGTCGAACTTCACGCCGGCCGGCAGCCCCGGCAAGTTCTGGATTGTCGTGCTCTCCTGACGACCACACATTATATTTATTTGTTCATCGATCGAGCCCTCCATCAGCAATTAAGCAGCATGACATGGAAGAGTGATGCATATTGGGCGCCTACGTACCTGCTCATATTGGGCGCGGTGGCCGCAGGAGGGGCACATCTTGACCAGGACGGCGATCGACGCCGCCGCCTTCTTGCCCACGGCGGCGGCGGCCGGGGACAGGCTGCTCTCCACGGCGGCGCGCACGTCGTTGAAACCATTGCACCACGTCATAATAACAACCCTTAGTTTCCTTCTCGATCCACAACGAAGCGCGCGACGACTACCAGTAACTATCTAGATCGACATCTCCATCTCCATGAGGACAGCAGGCAATTAAACAAAGCTAACAAGAGCACCCGGCCGGAGAGGAGTGTTAGCTGCCGCAGGGTTAAAACAAGACGACGACGATGACGACGAAGTGAGAGAAATAAGAGAGGGAGACGGCGACGACAGGGATCGGAGAGGGAACAACAAACAAAGGGGGTTGGTCAAGGAAAGAGAGCTGAGGGCGAGAAAACAAAGGAAGCTACAAGCTGCTAGATAGATAGCTTGTCCCTGTTAAAAGCTACCCGCGATCACACACCACCGTACAACACTGTTGATCCCGGTCCAGCCAGACGGTAGTACACAAACAGCGTACCATACATCACATCCACATCGCGCATGCAAACACATCTACTTTTCGATCCACGATCACGGTGGTTTCGATCTCAAGACGGCGATCGAGAGCTGCAGGCACTAGTTTTTCTCCTCGTTCTTTTATTACGTTGCTTGGGCCGGGACAAGCAGTACGCACCATCTAGCCAGTGTGTGTAGAACGAAGGTAAGAAACACACAAGCAAGCAAGCAAGAAAGGTAGCCAGGTTCCATACACAGTAGGTAGATGATGGCATGTTGCTTAGTCCTCAAGTATAGGCACCGCAAATTCTTCCGTATACGTGAGAAGGAAACCAGGGCCGGCCGGCAGGCGCCCGGCGGATTCTCTGCGCCGGGCAAAGTACATGAAACATGCGTGCATGCATGCACCGAACCTATTATATTTATTAGTTCCAATGTTTCTATGCGTGCATTTGGAAAATATGAGAAACATGCGTGCGTGCGTGAATGAGATCGATCGATCGAGGTTGTTGACATGAGCCCTTCCCGTGTACTTTCGCCCGTGTTAAGAGCAGCCACGGCACGCATGACGATTGATGAACACTAACTTCTGCATATCCTCTCTTGTCACTTTATGTATGTCCCTCTATTCTAAATTATAAATCACTTTGATTTTTTTTGGTATATTTATCTTCTATGCATCTATATATAATATTATGTTTAGATTACTAAAATGGATGAACAAAAAAAGTTAAAACAATTTATAATTTAGAACGGACGCCGTACTTATTACTGGCTTGTGGCCGTGACTGTCCATGCATGGAGGCCGTGCATTCAGGTTACTGCACACTAGTCCCTCGATCGGTCCTAAAAAAGAATGTGAGTCTAGAACTGCCGAAGTCAAACTATTTTTATTTTACCTAAATTTCTAAAAAACAACAACGTACAGTTATGGTTCTAAATAAATATATAAAATAAAACATATTCCTTTTGATGAATCGAATAATACTTATTTTTGAACGTAATAGCAGAAGCTCTGCTTTTTAATTAAGAGAAAAAATAAACTTTATGTGCAGAGAGTGGTGAGGGAAGAGAAGAAAGGACACACACATCCGTAAGATGGCACACCAGCCTATAATACAGGGGCGGGGGTACAGCACGAATAAAAAACACCCGTCCCTACTCTGAGAGCCCTTCTGTATTGCTCTCAATTTTTCCTTTGTTTCGTTTGACCACCTGAATGATAGTAGAATATTTCATAATATATAAATGGACATTTTCGTTGAAGGCATGTCTCTTCTCTTTAAAATTGAGTACGGAGCCGTTTTCCACCAATTGGCTACGATGTCCATTGTCCAAGCTTGCCTAGAGGCAGTGGCGTAGCCAGAATTTGTAGCTATGGTGGTCCATTGTCAAAAATTTTGTTAAATAAATTTAACATGTCGGTACATAAGTATATGAATTATACAAAACACAATTAAAGAAAAAAAGGCATACAGAGTTTTTCAACTTATTCTTGATAAAGGTCATTGTAGAATATATTCTTTGATGCATATTTTTGAAAAAGAGAGGCAGTATCACCACTCCTTTTCATATTTCTATAAGTCTGTAAGAGAATAAAAAATATTGTTTTAATTTACCATTCCAATAATCAATTTTACACAAAAAAAATCTTATCCTACAATTAAAATTAAATAGTCCAATGCGACCGTACAATAATATAATCTAATGACACAAAATAAAATAAAGTTTTGTGTATCTTGTGGCTTGCGGCTTCTGAACGTCTGATGCCTAATGGTGGATGGATCCGTGTCGCTGATCACCGCCCGGTAGCCACCAGCAATTGCTGATGCGTTCTGCTCGAGTTATGGCTAATTTACTTATTCTCTAGCTCTAAGGAGAGATTGGAAGAGAAAAAAAGGAAACATGACTAAACGAGCAGGCTAATTGGATGAAGATGTTGAGACGTATACCCGCAGATGACTCACGTGTGCGGCTGCTCGTCGTCCGGCGCCTGCCGCTGACCCGCCGCCGCCACTATCGTTTGGTATATCGAATTCTATGAAGCACAACTCATCAAGGGGATACGAAGGGGCGCATAGCGGCAGCACGGAGAAATACGAAGGAGCGCAGAATGGCCGCGGGCGTATTCGCGGAAGCCGCGGACGCTCGGAGTACGTATCCGATCTGACTGAATTTTCCTATATCTATGGGCCTGATATGCACCGGTGGTCCGCGGACCACCCGGACCACCATGTAGCTCCGCCCCTGCCTAGAGGGCTGATTGGAGGTCCCCAAAGCTCTCCCGGCAAGAATCAACTTTGCTCCAGAGTCCAGACTCGTTGCATTCGGTGAAGGGGCATGTGAGGCGAAGGTGACCCGTTTCAAGCGGGCCGTTGCAGAGGACACGTACACATATCTTGATGAGGCCAACGGGAAGCAAGCATGCACCATGGCTACAATTGTTTTCTTTTTCTGAGATGGAAGGAGTATATGAAAATAGCTGAATCTTAGCAGTTCCATGCATGTGGGAATATATATATAGAAAACTGTCGAAGATATGCGTGCATGCATGGGTGAACGCGATCGAGGTTGTTGGTTTATATTGGACGCCGGCCTGGTACTTCCGCCCGTGTGTTATTCTCTTTTCTGAGTACAGCCTGGGTGACCACACGTCCACACACCATCAGCGACGCCGTGCATGGCATGCAGTGATGCAGTGGCAGGTGCTGTAGAGATCAGATGAGATGAAAATATCTAAATCTGAAACCTGGTTGGTTGCCTAGATCAGCAATTCTCCGATCCCTTCACGCATCGACCACATATATGGAGCAGCGAGACTACGTATACATTGACAATTGACATCATATCGAATTATCGATTGATCTCGGTTAGGTGCATACATGCGTACTGTATAATTTGGAATGACTTGACTCACTAAAAAAGTTAAAATAACTTATAATTTGAAACGGAGGATTACAGAGTTTCTGGCGACGCCTCTCGTGTTATCAGCAGCACTGCATAGGATTTGGACGGTTCAGGCTATATCTGCAATGACGCAAACCGCGTACACTCATCGTTAATAGCCTTATGATTTTATGATGGACCAATCGAGCGAGCTTTGTGCCCACCAGCAGCTAGGCCGATCGTGACACGACGTCGTGCGTTCGCGAGCGAGCGGGGAGCTGGAGATGGAGCAGGTACGGTGGAGTGGAGGCGGGACAACCCGATGGATTCGCAGGACGACGTGCCACCGCGCGCGCGCAGGCGGTCGAGGAAGGGAGGGTGCTGCTGCTGGGCGCGCTGGCTGGGAGTGGACTGGGAGCGGATGGATTCAGATGTGAGGTCGCCGTGGAGTGGGTTGCAAGGCATTGACACCAGTTTGGAATTAGTGGGTGTGCTTCGTTTATTTGGCTAGGCAAACTTTTGATGTTTTTCCTTTTCTGAACGAACCGGCATTGACACCACATGTTTATATTGATATAGCAGAAATTTCAGATAGTCCCGCGAGGCTATAGAAAAAGAAAAGAAACACCACCGACAAGTAAAACTCAACAACTAGTAGTGGGACAAACAACTAAACACACCACGCTCCAGGGGCGGATCTATGTACGTGCTAAGCGGGTGTGGCCACACCAGGATTGCTATCGGACAACTGCATGTTTCACCGAGCCCCAGCAACCGGTTTTTCGACCGTGGATTTGCTTCCCCTGCCGCATGCGCGCCGTGGATCCTCCTCTCATCCTCCGATTCCTCGCCTTCCCAGGAAATCACCTCGGCACAGCACCACCCCCGGCGGACGGATCCGGCTCATCACTGGCTCCTCCAGGCGCCGCGTACGAGATCCACGGTGGAAGGGACGGAGCACCCCAGCGCGGCAGCACCACAGGCAGCCGAGAACCGGCTCATGCGTTCCTCCGAGCGCGGCGCACAAGATCCGGGTGTACGTGTACCCCGCCGCGGAAGAGCTGAAGCATGAACAGCGGCGACGACGCGGGTGGCGGAGGCGGCGGTCAAGAAGCCCCGCACAAGGGCGGACGAGTGCGACCACATCAACTTGTTCGTGCTGCTGCCCGTTTTGTTCGTCGTCTCCCGTTCACAGATTGTTCATAATTTGTATTTTTTTCTGAAATTTGTGAAAAATTTGTGAATAATTTGATGATATTTGTGAATAATTTGACATATAGTTCTCTGGTACCTGGAATTCATAGAAAAATATTGAAAATTTTGGTATATATTTGTTTGAAATATGTAATTATCCCCAAATTACATCACTATGTCTAATAAATTACACTGAAGAAATCATTGTAAATATAGTAATAAGACGGTGTAAATATAGTTATAAGACAGTGTAAGTGCATGAAAAAAATCTGATTGTTGGAATGGGCTAAAACAACCGGTTGTTGGCTAGATAGATTCAGAAGCAAAAAGTCTATCTAAAGGGCACTCGAGTGTTTTGAGGCCGAAAATTTTTCTTCACAGCTTCTTCTTCCTCAAGTCCGACGCGTCACCGCTGCCCACCGCCTCGCGTGGCACGGTAGGGTCTCATCGGAGCTCCGCCGCGGCACCCGCACCTGCGGCGTCCTCCTTCTCCCCCTCCCCCCCCCTCGCCGTTATGGCCATGGGCGCCCCGC